AGGTGAGCAGAAATGTTTCAGAGATTAATAAAATCCTGGGGGATTCTGGAAGGGTATTGGAATTGGGTCATTTCTCAGGCTGAAAGGGTGAGCTAGAGAGAATCAGGGTGGGCATCTCAGAGGATTTTCTTTTTCTGACTTCAGTTGTGACAAACAGGGCTGGCTTTATCACATGATTATGGGGAATTTTTGCTTAGAATCTGAATTCCAGCAGCTCAGTGTGGCACAGCGTAGTCTGTGAGAGTACTGATCTGAGCTCTGGGTAGTCATTTCTGACACTGCTCCTCCCAGGCATTTTATGTCCCTTTGGTTCCCAGGGCATGTTTGTCTCCATTTCCAAAGGCTGGTGCTGCTCCCTTTGTGACCTTTGCTGTGCAGACCCTCCCCACACCAGCTGTCCTGTGTTTCTGTTTACCCCTTTCAGGAGCTTGATGACTCTTCCTGTGTCACCATAGGCAGCTTCAGGGTCTGTTTATAATGTAAGTCAGTGCTGCTTAAAGAGAAAATCTTACATGATGCCACATTACCGTTTGCTAATTTAATGGGAGTTCCCAAGGAAAGTCTCTCAAATTGTTCTGTCTTTAAAAGAGATGTATCTGGAGCATTAAGTAAATGGTAAATACATTATAACTATTCAGATGTTAGAGTGAAAGAACTAATTTATTACTTTAATTAGTTTGTAGTGTACTTTACATTATTGTAATATGCAATATTGAAATAATGATCTGAAAATAGGTGTATACACATTCTGTTCAGCACAGCAACTTAATAATTCACTTGGCAAAAGCTCCTCTAATAATACATGAACTGTGAAATGTACTTGAAATGCCAGTTGTAATTAAAAACTTTCAGAACTTAATGTTGGCAGTACTTGTACTGCTAAAATGTAAGCTGCTTTGTAGAACAGGCACTGGGGGAGCCAGGTTTCAGTGTATTTTCAATATTAGTTTAACTACTAGGATCTTTTTAATATTTAAATAAAACATTTACTGTTGACACAGTAAAATCTACCCTTCTGATTTTGCACTCATAGGAATGAAAGAATGCAATCAGGAACACATTAATTTTTGTGTGCAGTCTGTGCTCCCAGATTGCTGCTGCAGTCAAGCTGAATTGTTGTTCCGGAGGTTTTTTTGTTCTCCAGACCCTCTGGAGATAAAAGCTTGCTGAATGCAGCGGGCTTTCTTGGCAAACTTCAACTGTAGGAATGCTGGCAATTCAGCATCAGGTGGTCACTTTTGAACAGCACAGCGATGAAAGCACGGAGGTGCTGAGGAGGTTCCTCAGGAACGGAGGTGCTGAGGAGGTTCCTCAGGAACGGAGGTGCTGAGGAGGTTCCTCAGGAACGGAGGTGCTGAGGAGGTTCCTCAGGAACGGAGGTGCTGAGGAGGTTCCTCAGGAACGGAGGTGCTGAGGAGGTTCCTCAGCTATTCCACTCCCTTCCCTGCTGGCCTCGGGCTCTGTGGGCTGGGACATGACCAGCTCTCCCCTGCCACTGTGGGACTGCTCTGTGCCACTGAGGTGCAGCTGAGGGTTGGCCACTCTGTCCTTTGTCCCCAGCAGTTCAGATAGTCCAGCTCCTAATTTGTGACCCTGTGACTGCACGGACAGGGACCTCTTTGGGCCCCTCTCCTGTGGATGGGGCTCCCCAGAGATGTTCCCCTGTACAGGCCACAAAGTGAGTTGGGGCTGTGGCTCTACAACTTCTCTCTGGCACAGAGGCCTTTAATGTTCGAGTGTGCTTTAATAAGTGAAATATACTGGCATTTGAATCAGCTGGTTAATGTCTAATTTTTGTTATTTCTTACACTTCAGTGTAGCTCAGCTTTAGGAACATTTTATTCAATATGACTTTTACTCTTCATGTGGGGAAAACCATGGCATAAGGCCAACCTACTGAATCCCATTTTATACATATTTTGTAAATACTGCTTTTCTGGTTTTTACCAACTTTTCCCTTTTTTCCCCCTCTTTTTTCCTGCCTTTTTTTTTTTTTTTTGGTGTAATTATGAATTATTTTTAAAGGAGGTGAATTGTCTTTGTCTTAATGAAAAGACATGGATTAGATAAACATGGGGGAGGGAACAGGGGTAATCTAAACTAACTTCATGTACTGCCTACAGAAAATAATAACACTGGGTATGGTGAGCAAATATGATATAGTTACACTCTCCTTTGGCATTCTCATTATCCATTTTCCTGATTGGCAATGGGCTCATACATTCAAAAACCTAACTAGATAAAGGCAGAAAGCAGATTCTACCCCCTGAATGTGTGTTAGTGATTTAGGACAGAGCAGGGAGTGTTGTAGGTGTGGAGATACACCCTGAGTTACTGGCTTATCTGTTCTGTCTGGGGAACCCCGTTGGATGATTAGTGCTTTGTAAGCTGAGGGAAGTTCTGGATTTGATGCTTGGTTATGCTCATTTGTTCGTATGAAACCTGTCAAAAATCTAGATTGTGCCTCAGTATTGATTTCTGACTTGAATCAAAAGGCTGTAATGGAAGAGCTATGTGGAAACAACCGGGGAAGGTGATCATGGCCTGGCACCAGATTGGGGCGTAACATTGCCAAGCAAACCACTGCTAATCAGAATGAATTAATAAGGAGGCTTGAGATGATTTCAGACTGAACTAGTACCTATATGTGCTCACTGCTTCACTGGGGTTTGATTCCTTCAGTCAGTTGTTGTCCCAGACTCTGCTGGGCCCACTCTGTTCTCCACATCCATTTCCAGGCAGTGGTTCCCCTGCAGTGTCAGGGAACTGGAGCTTTCATTGAGACCAATTTAATGGCCTCAACGAGGCCAACGATTGCAGTGCTAATGACTGCAATCAAACAGTCAAAAAAATCCCTGGTTAATAGGTAAATTAATATCCAGAGAAGACCAATAAAGGATCAGAAGAGTTCTCAGACGTGGAGAGAACTGAAGCTGCATCATGTACTGAGCCCAGTGGCATTGATCCCAGTATTGGAGAGAGTGTTTGAAAGGAGCGTGAAGCAGGATGTAGGAAAATCCAAGCTTACAAAAAGCAATTTTTTTGTTACATAATCTGATTGTTACTGCATTTCTGTTCAGAAAATCTCAGTGGTGTTATTACCGACGTTTAAAGCTCCTTCGAATGCTTCTGCAGCTTATCCCAGCTCCAATCTGAGTATGCTTTTAGCAGATTTCATTCACTGTTTGCTTGTTGTTAGATTGTAAAGCTTCCTGCATATGGTTTTGCTTTGATCTGTTTCAAAAGCCAGGTAGAAAAGATTGCATGTTCTTGTAACTCATTTTTAAAGCGTTCCTTTTTGACTTCATTTGTGTGGCAAGTGAAGGGTAACTGAAACAATTTAACATTTTATTTTAGAGTCTTAAAGTGCTAAACTGCATGAGCAGGCTACTGGCAAAATTGCTACATGAAGATTTGGATTTAAACAGCTGTTGTGCTACAAGTTTCAAGTGTGAGGGAGGTTTAATTCGGGTGTTGCAGCTGAGGCTGGAGGGACCTCTCCAGACCCCCGGGGGCCACCCCTGCCCAGGCAGGGTCAGATACAGCTGGTGACCCAGGATCCCACCGAATCCAGGTTTAAACCTCTGCAGGGGGTGGAGGCTCCATAACCTCCCTGGCCAGAATGTTCTAGTGTCCATCCACCCTCTCAGGAGGGAAGTGATGGATGGCATGGAATTTCAGGAGTCTCTGCCTGTTGTTTCCCATCCTGTCACTGGGCACATCTGGCTCCATCCTCTGCACGCTCTTCATTTTTGGGTTGTTTTCTTATTATTACTTTGCTTGCACTCCATGAGAAGTCACATCGTTGATCAGCCTATTGCAAGGAGCAAAGTACACTTGGTATTTTAGCAAGAAGTGGGGCAAGCACGGCATCACTCAGATGTAACTCACTGAGAACCTTGGACCATGGGGAGCTCTGGATTTCTGAACAGAACATCTTTCATAAGCACAAAACAGAAGAATTAATAGTCTGTGCACACAGCCAGTGGAATGCAGTAAAGGTAGAAAAAATTGTAAGCATTTTAATATCTTAGCATTAAAGTGCTCACTGTAGTGTAGAAAACCAGCTGAAAAATGGCTCCAATGCTTGTTCCTTAGAGGAATGCAGAGTTCCGTTAGCACTTGACAAATCCATTACAAAAAGAGCTGGCAAGCCAACAAAAAGGAGACATCATTAATCCTGTTGAAACCAGTGTGAAACAGGTGAGCACACAAGTGCTCCTGACAGCACCGAGGAAATCGGGACCCTCACTGGCTGGAGATGAGTCACTGCCTGTGGCACGGGGATGGGGTGTCTTCTTTAGCTAACAGTCTGTCAGGGTCATGTCAGGAGTGGATTTTTGGCAGGTTGAGCTGGGTGGTCCATCCCGTCTCCAGGATGTTTTGTTAAGAAGCAGGGCAGGCTCTGCAATGAGGGGTGTGGGGGAGCTGGGCCCTGGCCTGCCCTGCCGCGGCTGCTGCCTCTCTTCCCGCAGAGGAGGGGGATGTTGTGTGTGCAGGACCCCCGGGACGGTCACAAGCCCTGGCAGGGGGCAGGGGTGCCAGGCTGGTTTCCCCTGTGAGAGCTGGCAGAATTGAAGGCCCTGTCCTGGGGGGAGTGCGGAGCTGTCACAGCAGTGCCGGCACTGGGGGCTGGGAGCACACTCTGCTCGGGGACTCTGGTCTCCATCCCTTCACAGGTTCGTTAAGGAACATGCATGCCATTGAAAGCCTAAGTGCTCAAGGGGAATTCAAGATCTGAATCACTGAGATGGTTTTAGCGATTTTACCTATAATCTCTTCCTGTGTGATTTTATTGCATCTTATGCCACTCAGTAGCAAGCTGCACATGAACATGTGGAGAGGTGGTGCTTGCTAAATGATTGTGTTGCTGATAAGATTATAAATCTTACTTTGTACATGGATTACATGGGTTTCCTTCCCAGTCTCAGCTTGGCAGGATCACAGTCACAGAGTTACACAGTCTGCTACAGGACTGTCTCTTCAACCGTTTCTTCCAGGTTCTACAGTGGAAAGCACAGCAGGAAGAAGCTGCTAAACTAGAAGCTGCTGTAGCTGCCAGAAGAAAAGAAAAGGAAGATGAGAAAAAAAGGCTACAGAGAGAACAGGAAACCAGTCGTAGAGCTCAGGAGAAAGAGAAAGTATGAGAAACTTTTATACATTTTTGCATATGTTAATGTGTACAATTACTCCTGTAATCTTTAACTGATTTCATACCACTTGTGTTAAGTATTGATATAGAGAAGGGCAAATGATCACTTGGGTCTTGCTCCAGTCCATTTTAGCTCTAAAGCTGTCTGCTCTGACACACCAGTTGTGTTACTTCATTGCCTGTCTTTAAAAAAAGCCTGTCCAAGTCAGTGTGTGACTGTGGCCGTGTCACAAACCAGCACAGGGGCATGGCTGGGTCTGACTGCACAGATTTGTGCCTTTGAGCAGCGTGGCAGCCTCGGGAAGCTCCCAGTGCTGCAGCTGAGTGCTGCAATGCAGCAGAGGAGCCCGACAGCTCACAGCCTGCAGGACAGCAGGGTGGGGGACCAGCACATCTCCAAGGGACAGTATTCCCAGTACTTGTGTGCTCGCCCCTTGGGAAATGGCTTGGATGCAGCTTAACAGCAAATCCAAAATCTGCTGTAGTGAATGTAATGCTCTAGCAAACCAAGCTGTGTCACACTTGTTTGTGTTGGCCTTTTTACTTAAATGATGTGGCAAAAATCCAGGAGGTTGTTTCATTAGGATTTTGCCTCTGAGTCCAGAGATACAGAGAGGGACATTTAGTGAGGGTTTGCTGCTTAGGTCAAGAGTAGCTTTGCTGCTGCTTTACTTTTTGTTCCAGCTTGTTCTGTGTATTTGCCTTTACACACACAGTGTTTGTAGTGGCAGGTGGCTCTGAAACCACAGGGAAGGAAGAGGTTTGGGCAGGCAGTGCTGACACAACCACTAGCAACATTCATTTTATCTGTAAATATTCTGGTTGTGCAAACTTTTCTCTTCTTGTGTGTGATATCGATATAGAACCATCCTCTGCCTGTGCACAGATGGAATAGCAGCTGTTTGGGGTCAGCAGTCGTGTTTCACTGGAGTATTTTCCATCTTAGATCCTTAAAAGGGCTGCTAACCTTATACTGCAGCTGCTTTTCTGGGGAATGTTCTGGGGCAGCAAGAAGAATATTTAAAATACATGTGAGCAGTGTAAAAGAAATGACCACCCTCTACCTGGTTTGTGACCCAGGCAAGGTATGTCAAGCAACTCCAAACACAGGAAAGGGTAACATGCCATTAACTCTAAATGCCAATGCTACAGTTGCTCTGTTGGACTGCAGATCAGAATTTTTCCTGTATATTTAAACATGGAATTTCAAAACTATCCATTGATCCCTAATTAGAGTTTATGAGAAAGCCTTCAGGCAATGAGGAATACAAAAAGGGAGTAATTGCAAAAGTGAGAGTTTTATTTCATAAATAGAAGTATTTGAAACAATATTAAATAAAAGCACTCTAAGAAATATGGTTCTAGGTCAGGTTGCTTCCTGACCTTCATATGTCAAAAATGGCCTGTCTAAAGAAATGATTGGCTTACAGGTTGGGAATTCTGAAATATAAGCACTGTTTGGATGACCTGTTTTATTCTGAACCACGATAGTGAAGGGTTTTTCTACACTAAGTCCATCATTCTGTGCAAGGTGCTGCACATGGGTCAGGGCAGTTCCAGGCACAGATGCAGGCTGGGTGGAGAAGGGATGTGGAGCAGCCCCATGTCCAGGACAATGGAGATGACCCAGAAACCACCCCCGTGCCCTGGGCTGATCCCACAGCGTGGGCAGCAGGGAGGGGGGATCCTGCCCTTCTGCCCCCTCAGGTGAGACCCCCCTGCAGAGCTGCTCCAGCCCTGGGAACAGCAGCACAAGGACGTGGAGCTGCTGGAGAGAGTCCAGAGGAGGCCCCGGAGATGCTCCAGGGCTGGAGCCCCTCTGCTCTGGAGCCAGGCTGGGAGAGCTGGGGGGGTTCACCTGGAGAAGAGAAGGCTCCAGGGAGAGCTGAGAGCTCCTTCCAGGACCTAAAGGGGCTCCAGGAGAGCTGGAGAGGGACTGGGGACAAGGCATGGAGGGACAGGACACAGGGAATGGATCCCACTGCCAGAGGGCAGGGTGAGATGGGATGCCAGGAAGATACTAAATATTCTATGATTATATGATATTGGCAGTGCTGGGTTAATGGTTTGATTCAATGATCTTAAAGATCTTTTCCAATGTGAATGATTTTGTGATTTGCAAAGTATGTCATGGCAAGACAGGAATTACAAGCTTGCTACAAATTCTACCAGTTGTCTTTGAAGAATTGCTGTGGTTTTAGGAACAGGATCCTGTAGAATTTGTTAAAATTAAAAATTTAGCATTTCACTTTGGCAATATCTACTTTAAGCCCCTGTTTCTCCTTTTGCATCCAAGCCCCCTCATCTTTTCAGATAAGCTTCCCTGCTCAGGTTTCAGAGTCTTCCTTGAGGCCTTTCTTTCCCACTCAGCTTTGGAAAAGCTCCAGACTTACGTGAGGAACACTCAAGTGCTGCCTCCTGTTCCTCAGTGGACTCTCCACCTCAGCACAGTGAGCTGGGCTGGCCTTTGCCAGCCCTTTGGGCCAACCCAGGACGCTCTAACTCAAGGAACATTCACTCGTGTGAGCAGCACAGTTGAGGGTTTTGATGGCAGAGTAGGAAGGCAGGGAGCAATTGGAAGTGGTAGTCTTCAGATTGTGGTGGAAAAATATGTGCAAATTAGTGTCCACAGTCTAATTTTACTACTTTTGTTGTGGGGGCTGCACACCCTCTTGCTCTCATAGTAAATCTTCTGTTAACTTGTAGTGCTCTCAAATAGAAATTTTATTCTAAAAAGATCAAAATTGGAGTTTCTGACTTGATGCCTTTCTCGGTTTCTTTATTGTCACTGCCTTGGCTTGGGAATGAGTGTTGATTTGTTTGCTGTACTTGCTCAAACTCTAGCTGAAAAAATACTGGGCTGAGAAACAACTCAAGTGGCAAGAACAGGAGGAGAGAGATCTACAACGTCTGGAGGAATTGAGAAAATTAATGGCTGAACAAGCGGCTAAAGACAGAGAAAGGTAAAAGAAATTAAATGTGAATACCTATGGTATTAATAGGAGCTTCTTATAATCCAATTTGTTTTGATCCTCCAACCTTCTAAACTAGAATAAACTGAGATAAGTAACTTTTTTCTTCCTGTTTGGCAATTACCCCAATCTATACACTAAGGTCACATCATGATTGTATCCTGGATGCAATTTATTTGGTATTTCAAACTAATTAATATCCATCAAAGATTTTACACCTTTGTAAGCATTAAACTTGGAATCATGACAGGGTGCACACATTAAACCCAGCTCCCCTGGTGATTATTTTTAATTGTAGCTGAGTAATGAGACCACCTACTTTCCCACTTTGCAAAGTGATTTATAATCAGATTTGGTTTGTTTGAGGGGCAAGTGAAAGGAGCTCATTCAGCACTTAACAGCCTCAAAGATATTAATTATTATCTTAGAGAGTCCTGAACTGCTCATCTAGTTGTAGATGCTCTTTACCTGTTTAATGGGATTTTGGACTTGAGCCTGCTCACAGTTGAATTGCCAAGTCTTTGTTGCACAATGTGGCCTTTAATGGCCTGTTGAAGAAATGCTGGATTTCACAGGGGAATCCCTCTGCCAGAGGAACACAACCCGGGAAAGTAGACTGGTTATAACTGCCCCCAAAGCACAGCCTGTCTCTTTTACATGGAGGTAACCACCAAGTTGTGGGGACCAGAAATGCAATTAAAATAGGATTCGAGTGCCATTGGCATTTGAATATTAAACTTGGTCTTAAGCATTCTGTGGGAAACAGTGCTTTCAGTCTTATTTTGCTAGGACACCTGGCTGACAGCTAAATTTAAATGCTTGTATCCTTATGCTACAAATATATCTCTACCTTTCCTTAAACATACCTGCAGTGATTTTAGCTTATGGGAAAAGAAACACGTGTTTGAATTACAGAATTTTCAGCAGAACTGATCAGGGAAAAGTGATTTTTCTTTAAACCTGTGTATTGCACTCTGCCATAGTGCTGGGAATGTTCTTTCTTGTGCTAATAAATGTTGCAGAATAAGATACAAGGAAATGGCACAGTTCTTTGAGGAATGCAGTGGGGAAATAATCCCCCCTTCAGGCTGTTGTGAATCAGAAGCCAGTAAATACTCAGCATTATGTTACCCAGAACTGACCTACTGTACCAAATAAAGCATTTGATTGTGCAGACCTCAGGTACACATGTGGCATGGTGGTGTCCTGGTGCAGCAGAGTTTTAGTCTCAGTTCAGATGGTCTCAGGCTAACACGACCCTCCCCAGGAGCAGCAATCGCTGCATCGTGGTACCAAGCCCTGCTCTGCCCCGCTCTGCCTGGCTGGGGTTTGCCAATCAGTTGGGATCACTTGGACCACTTCAAACTGGGTATGGAAAGGCAACAGAATGTCTCAATTTAGCATTGCTTTACATTCCTGCATGCAGGAAAACTGCTACAGGCCAGACAGAGTGTGTGGGTTAGACCTGGCCAGGTGCCCCCCAGTCTTCTCTCTTGGCCATGCACAGAAGCTTCCAGAGTACTGAATTTTGTGTTTGGTAGCTCTGGAGTGTTTTAGAAGATGTATCACAGTAGTCAGCTCAAGCAGAATGAGAGGGTTTCAGTATAATGTAATTTTTGTCATTTTCCAGAGAAATATTAGTATCTGCTTTTTATTAAATTTTCTCCATGTAAAAAGCAGATTAGGCTTTTCCCTCTGGGACAGAATGACCCCTGAGGGCTACTGCTGCAGCATTCCTCTGCCTGGCCTCCTGCAGTGGCTACAGAGAGAAACTGGAAGCCTCTCTGGGGCACCCTCAGGCAGCTTCCTACCACCCTCTTGGGACAAATTTGTTTGTCCTGCTAATTGTGATTGGATTATTGGCACAGAGGTCTTTGCTAGCCACCAACAGAACTGAAGGTGTAGTTCTGATTTTTGCAGCTTATGGCACAAGTTATAAGTGTGCCATATAAGTATAGTAAGCTCCTTTGAGTTTACTAAAATTTGGAGAGTAAGAAAATAACAATACATGTTTTAGTGTAGTTGAAGCAGCTCATTCATCTCAATTTCTCTAGAGGCGAGTTCAAATTTGAAGGGCAAAAGAAGGATAACTCTCCAAATGCAAAGCATGGCATTGGCAACTCCTGTATAAGGACTAAAAGTGAGGTACCAACAAATACCTGCAGCTCCATAAGGAACAGAGTCTGGCAGTGGCCTGAGGGTCATCAGGGAATGTGTCTGTGCTGGTGCTGTAGGGCATATTGCCCCTGCTGTGAAAGGGGGAGCAGGACAGTGGTAAAGTTCTGGAGTTACTGGTGTGAACCTCCACCTTTTTCCTTTGGAAGAAGGGTGTAATTCTCAAGTTTTCTTGCTCCTTCCAGTAACAAGATTGGGAGTGAGATGTTGCTTTTAATGGAAAGGGTTATAGGAAAGATTTCTTCTGCCATACACAGATGTGAGAGAACATTTCTTCTTGGCAAAGAAAATGGGGGAGAAAAAAAGAGTACCAGGACTATATAAAGCACACTAGAGAAAATCTGCAGTCTAGACATCTGAAAGGTTAGCCAAGTTGTTCAAAAAAACAACCAACCAACTAAAACCCACTCAAAAGCAAATCAAAAAATATAACTGCCTAAACCCCTCTTCCCCCAAAAACCCAAACAAAAACCTCCGAAAAAGAGAATACATTCAAATGAAAAATCATTCTGCACTGAGGTGTTTGCACATCAGGTGGATATAGAAAACGTCAGGGTGGTTTTCAACACAAACACCAACAGAGAAATTTCAAGCTGCCCTTGCCCAGCTTTCCCTCTGTGTGCTGGCAGGGTGCAATTCCGACGGGTGCTGCTGGAGAAGCGGCTGCTGGAGAGAAAGGAGCAGGTCCTGCTCCAGGCCCGGGAAGAGGAGGAGAGAGAGAAGCGCCTGGAAATGCTCCGGCAGCAGGTGGGTCGGCCCGGGCTGCAGTGATCTCACACACAGGGGTACAAACACTGTCAGAGCACTGCGAGACAAAAGGAACGATCTTTCCAAAGCAAATAAATGAACGAGTTAAAACACACTCCTGGTCTGACTAACAGTAATTCTGTTGTGTTATAAATCCTGCGTGCTCTGTGGCTCTGACAACAGGTACGTTATGACATTAAACTGCACTGTAGAAGCTTTTGGTATCTAAAAGGAGAAAGAGAAGGGTTTTTCTAGGTTGGATGTCATTTCTCTTCCTTGATTTTTATTTTTTTTATTTTAATAATCTTAAATCTTCCCTGAGTCTTAGGCGAGATTTATAAGTAATTTTGATTGTTTTTAAATTCTGGAAGCTTACACTTCTTGGATGACTTTTCTTCAGAGATATTTAACTCTGTGAAACTTTTGCACATTATTTCTTAAGGGACATTCCAGAAAATGCATGCTAATGCTTGCTAATGTCATAGTAAATGTAGTGCTGGTAAATGTAGTTGTTTTTTTCTACTGCTGACTTTTGAAGGAGTAATTTTACTTTCATTTACATTTTTCTATCTAATCTCCTTGTTTTTTCCTCAGAAGATTAGTAGGAAAAAGCTAGAGTTCACATTCTGTACACTATAGGAGCCAAAGGAAAATAGGGAGGGGGAAAAGGTGCTCTTCAACCCCCTTTTTTTCATTTGTGATAATTTAAACAGCATTGAAGCAGCAGCTTTTTCCCCAGGACTACCCTTGGTTAAAAATCTGATGTTTGGTGCAGCCTTGACCTCCCCCTCAGTGGACCATCCCAGTGCATCCTGTGAAACCCTTCCTTAATCCCTCAGGGGGTGTTGGTGGCCTCACAAGTGCTTTCACTTGGTAGTAGGGTGTGCAAAGTCAGGAGGAAAATAAAATATCACAGAGGCCAAATACTCTGAGCCACCTTCTGTGGGAGAGCTGAGCAGAACAGGAATAGACAAACCTCAGGGATCCTTGGTATCCTTTTGGTAGTTTTTTAAACTGTTGAACTTGAGCACATTTCCAGTCAGTATTGCTTTATTTTTAAAAATCTGATTCAATTACATATTTTGCAGTGTTATTTTAGGTTATCAAAGCATTTTTAATAATAACTCTCTTGCATCTTTTCCAAGTTCCTGGTTGAGTTTTATTATTATTTGCATCAGGTTTTACATGAGGCTGGTTGGGAGTCATGATCTGTTGAGCTCTGCCCACTGACTCAATTCTCTTGCCAGAGTAGAAAACACTTCTAGAACAGCCTTTGCCCAGAATGGGGAAGTTCCCACTTTGTTACACTTTTCTAACCAACATTTATTCTCTGTTTCACACTAATGAAATGAATTCATAAAGTATGTGCCTTTTTTGTATGTGGGGGAAAAAGGTTTTTTCGTAAAGTCATCCAGCCAGCCTGTAGATTTTGGCAGGCTGTAAATACAAAGATGACATTTCATTAAAGAGATGGGCAAAAAAATTATCGTACAAAATTTAAGCTGTTTTTTTCCTGGTTTTAGTCATTCAGATAGGGTTCTGACTTTAATTATTTTGCTCATGCATCTTTCTGTATTTTTCCAAAGTAGTATTAGCCTGTATCTAAATGTTTTAACACAAAGAAAGTAAGCAATGAAAGAAGATTGATTCTGGCACAATACAGTGTCTGAGAGTCTTTGATACTGATCTAGCTCCAGGAAATTACACAGTTAAAGCAGATGCACTTCACAAAAAAAACAGAGTTATGTTATTTGGGGCATATCGTTCAATGTTGTTTCCCATGACTCTGTAAAAATTGGGAACTACCAACCTGAAAGTTTGGACTTCCTGGAATTGTGGGAATTGCAGAATTGTGAGGTTCTGGGTCTTTGTGGTGACTGTCTTGGGACGCTGGAGCTCGTGTCAGGCTCTGCTGGAGAGCCCAGGGTGCTGTTGCTTCTCCCTGTCCTTGCTGGGCCCAGGCTGGGACCCTACACACTGTTACAGTGCAAAGGCAGTGAATGATCGTGTTCTCAAAGGGTGTGTTACTGATAAAAGCCTGTTCTCACCTTGGCTCTACACAGAGGGAATGTTATTTTCACGTCCTGTGTTTCAGGTTGCTGTTGTTGCAAAATCAGACCCAGCCAGAGCAGTGGCTGATACGGTGGCATCAAGGGCCCGGATGGGCATCGGAGCCAACCAGGAGTTTGAGCTGCAGCAGCCTCTGTTCAGGCTGCACACGTACAGTGAGGAGCAGGTAAGTGGCTGTGATCCTGTGTGAGCTATTGTGGGCACAGATGTCTTAACAGTGTATCCTAAATAGCAACACGGGCAGTGGAATACAGACTATGATGTGGGTAAGATAAAAACATCAGGAGTGACAGGTGGGGCAATGTCTCCAGAAAGAGGCTTACAAATTTTGTCAACTAACCTTCTGACAAATTTCAGAAGTAATTTCCCTGGGATTAATTGTCATTCTGACAAATGGAAGTGGCACTGCCATGTAAGCACAAGGCAACAGTGTGAGAAAAGTCATAAAGGCGTTTGAAGCACTTGGATTCCATAGGAACAACCAGGAAGGGACTGGATTGTGTGCTACACTCAGGGCTGTGTGCACAGGGAACATAAGGAAAGGCAGCAGCTCCTCAGGGAGCAGCTGGATTAAAAGTCACTTGGTTCCTCACCTACACTCTCAGTTTTGCTGAGGAAAGGAAACCGGGGCTCGTTGGTTTGTGATCATGTTGTGTGATTGTGATTATGAATATTCAAAAGGATAATATCAGGATATGGACAGTGAGATAAGGCTTGCTCACTGTAAAGCTTCTCTGTTTTGAAAGTTTTATTTTATGACCATAATTTTCTGACTGTCTTTTGAAAGCTTTTTAAACATGTATATTCACAGTTACCCTGTAAGATGCACCGGGTGTATGGGGAAGGTGGTGCTTGGTTTCTGTTGATCATTGCTGTGGTTTATTTTACCAGGTCATTTCTGACCCCAGACTCCGTGTCGAGCTCGCTCTCCGAGAAGCTGGACTGCATAAAACACTTTATGCAAGAGAGATTTTGCCAAAAATTCCTCCACCAAAGCTTCCAAGAAGAGACATGGAGTCTACAGCTTTTGAAGTGTAGACCACCTCTTGTCTCAGGAGCAGAGGAGCTTCAGGGGTGCAGACCTTTAATAAATTCCCTTTGGTTGTGTCATAGAACTGCTCAGTTCCCTGTGTGTGCAGCCATTCAAACCCTGCTGAGCCTTTCTCCTAGTGCCTGCTGCAGGTTTGGGGAGCTGGGGGTGGGCTGGTGCAGTGTCAGTGTCCATGTCCCTTTTAACTGGGAGCTGGGACACCTGTACATGAGGACTCCTACACACAGCACAGGCCAATCTGATGTGCAGCACCTGGAGCAGGAACTCTTGGGTTTCAATTGGCAGCAGAAATCCAAAATAGCTTTGCACTGCAGTTACTTTAGATTATATTACGTTACATGAATAAATCCCACAGTTTTTATTCCAAGTTTCTTGAGAATTTGATCTTTTAATTATAAAATCTTCATTACCATGCATGTTTCTAATATTCTTTGATTATTATAAGAAGAAACTTAAACCTTTGTCTATATTTAGAAGCCAATTTGCTGCATCATATTTACTGCAAGCCAGTCATGCAATTTCATATTGCAGATTAGTCTTTCAGTATAAATTATAAATTAGAATTAGAGCTGGGATCTTTATTTTGGAGCTGACATTACTGAATATGATTCTATTAACTGAAAGGGAAATTGATGTTATTTCCTTTTGTAATTGATTATGTTTTCAAGCCTTACATAAAGATAGCATAAAATGATTGTAAACAAGTTACAAATTAGCACTTTGACCAGAAATTTCTAAGGATGATGAATATCAGAAAGATCTGAACATCCCCACTTGTGTCTCTGGGCAATTATGGGAACTTCATTAATGTGGTGCTGTAATGCCTTACAGGTGTCAGTGTGTCACATCTGAGTTCTGCAGAGACAGTGTCCAGTTTTCACCCCTCAGACTGAGAACTCCGCTGGCAAAGCCCTCACAGCCTGAGTGCGGCCTCAACCCCGAGCAGGGCACTCAGGGCACAGCGTTGGGACCTGCTGGAGACCCCAAGGTGGGTGCCAGAGGGGGGCAGCTGGTGTGACAGACCCCCACGAGTGAGCACAGGGCCGGGCCAGGAGCAGCATCACCCCGGGATGGCAGCTGAGGTATTTAGTGGGGAAATGCTGCAGAGCCTGCCCTGAGCCGTGGGAGCTGCCTTGTCTGGGCTCAGCTTCTGTGACTTTGGGCTAAAATTACAACTCTGTGTATTTGTGCTTTTTATTTTGGTATCTCCTTTGGGCTAACTTGTTATTTTTAAAACACACTTGACCAGCCTCACAACTGGCTGGATGTTCCTGTGGGGAGACCAGCAGTGCTTTGCTGTGAGGAACAGACTGGCTGCAGGACAATTCCCAGAAAGGGATCATCCCAAACCTATGGCAGTTGATTTTTTTTTTCCTTGCCTTTAAAAGCAGATCTAAAAGATAATTTCAGTGGTGCAAAATCTTTTGAGATTGAAGTCCAGTATTCCTTTTCCTTGAGAGGTTTTTAATTACTTTCACAAAGAGCTTGAAGGTACATTGCTGTTAGTATGGGAGTTTCTGAAGTAGACTCTGAGCTTGGCAGAACTGAGTTGGAATAGTAGGTTGGATTGCATGGTAAGTGACTGGAGGAATGTGTTTCTATTCTGGGAAGACACTGGCTCCTGTCCTGGGATTTCTTCTCTGTCATATTAATATTAGAGCCTAAAAACAGCCATCTTGGAATGGAAACCAGGAACCAGTCTCCTTTTCTTGTATAAAGTGGAATTTGCTTTTTCATGGCACCAGTTTTCACGATATCATAGAATCATCAGAGAATCCCAAAATGGTTTGGGTTGAAAGGGACCTTAAAGCCCATTCAGTTCCACCCACCCTTCCACGAGGCCAGGCTGATCCAAGCCCCATCCAGCCTGGCCTTGAACACTTTCTGTAAGTTATCCTGCAAGTTCCCTGCAAGTATCCTGTAAGTTACTGTTCCAAATTGATTTGGAAGCAAGCTTGTTAGTGAACCTTAAGAACTGAAAGTGATTTTGTGGGAATTCTTCAGGCTATAGGGGACCCTCTGTGAACAACCCCTCCACTCCACCCGGGTGCAGCTCAGTCTCTTCCAGCTTGTGGAGACACTTGCAGATGATTTGCTGGATGTAAAAGATGCAGTTATGTAAAATCAGGTCAAGGTTATGTCAGCACTATGTGCTCCTCATCCCACTACCTCACAAGGGTCTCTGTGCCCAAACCTGCCCACCCTATGACAGGGGTTAAGCTGCTCCTGCTCAGCCAGAGACGGCCTCTCGTGCTTAAACTCTGGCACCTGCCAGTTTGTCACATCTTTAAATACTGTAGGAATGAAAGTCTGAACGGCCTCTGTAACAGCAGTAACAATAATGGTTACAAGTACTGATTAATTTTGGATGTCATTTACTTAGGCTTTGGCTTTATGCCCAAGGCAAAGGGATCTCCTTCCTACAGGATCACTGTGGACAGAAGTGACCTTAACAGGACAATCCTTTATGATGAGTGGAGCTGGGAGTGAGGAACCTGCAGCTCAGTAACACAGCCTTGTTTTCTGTGCAAATTTTGGCTAGAGCTGCTGTCCTCGAGGGTGCATGTGTTGTCAGAGCCATTCTAGCTGTGCTGGAGGTTGGAGCTGTCCTTGGGTATGCATGTGTGTCATTCCAGCCATGTTGGAGGTTGGAGCTGTCCTTGGACATGCACATGTGTCGGAGCCAGTGCAGCTGAGCTGGAGGCCTGCAGCGCCTGCACAGCAGTGTCCGTAGGGTGCGGCCGCTCCCCTCGGCTGTGGAGGGCTCTCTGCCGTGGGAGTGCGGCGTGGCCGAGTGTCTTTGCCATTTCCCAGAGCAGGGGCCGTGCAAGTCTCTTTGCCATTTCCCAGAGCAGGGGCCGTGCTGTGGCCGAGTGTCTTTGCCATTTCCCAGAGCAGGGGCCGTGCTGTGGCCGTGTCTTTGCCATTTCCCAGAGCAGGGGCCGTGCTGTGGCAGGCCGTGCCCGTGCGGTGGTCAGTGCACGGTGTGACTGCCGTGCCCGTGCCGCGGTCAGTGCTGGGGTCAGTGCTGGGATCGGCCCGCGGGGCCCAGGCCCAGCCGCTGGCGGATGAAGGCGGCAATCAGGCGCTGGGGCCGCTGCTGGTACTCCCACAGCACCTCGTGGGATGCCCGGATCTGGTCCCCCTGCAGCCGGTCCAGGAGCGCCACGCAGACAACGGCGGCTGTGGAACACACGGAGGGATGGATGGATGGAGCACTGTCACCTCGCACCTGACCCCGCATTTCACCCCCGGCACGGAGCAGGGTCCTGCCTCCCCAGGGCTCATGACGAAGGGGCCAATGTGGCAGGACCCCGGGGAGCTGCTGGCCATGGCTCTGCTCTGCATCCACCCTCCGCTCACCCGGGCTCTGCTCCAGCAAACCCTGGGGGTGGCTGCACCAGCATGGCCAGGATGTGTTTGTAGGGCCAGGAGAAGTGGGGGGGGATTAAGATTTGGTTTGTCCAATGTGTTCTCAGGCTTTGGGTTTTATTGAGCTACAAAGTTTGTTTTAGTGTCCTTTTCTAGTTCAAATTGTTAGGAATGTGTGTTTGGCCTTCTGGCACCAAACAGAACCCTTAGAGGGGGGTTAAGCGGGATGCAGGGAGGAGATAGAATTGGCAGGACTCACCTTTGAGACCACACAGCCCACACAGGGCAGCGAATGCTGTGGACTCCATTTCAATGTTCCTTACACCAGCGTCATAAGCTCTTCTCAAGTACTCCAACTTTTTTTCACTGGAAAAGGAGCACAGTGCACCATCTAATCTCCCCTGACCTGGGAAGGAAGCAGAGAAGTGTCACTGTTGGGCCTGGGCAGGGTCACAGGCACAGGGCATAGGTGCAAACAGAAAGTCCAACAGTGCCCACGTTCTGTTGGAGGCTCACGAAGTTTTCCTTTGAGTAGCTGTTAACTCCTATTCCCCTTGATGTTGAAGCCAGCACGACACATCTCTGTGCAGGGGGGAGAATGATGCAGGTTTCACCACAGGTAAAGGGCCAAGTCAGCCCATAGGTGTGAAGTGCAGGGGATGTTGTGCTCTGTGGGGACAAGCCATCCCCACTCCTGAGGTCCGTGGTGCACCTCAGCTGTGAAGGTAAATGCTTACCTGCAGCTGGGCTAACCTGGGACAGCACTTCAGTTTACTGCTCTTCCTACTTTAATCCTCTCAAATGGCTTTTTGTTTAAATAAAACATGGCCTTGAGCAATACACAGATGGCTGCATCTGCAAGCAGATCTAAGGATTTATAAATAGCGCTCAGATTATTAATTCTTCATTTATTACATTTCATCTACTCTGCAACCAGCATTTAGTTTTGCAGAGGAAAGGGTTCTAGAGTAACCAAAGTTTGTTTATGTAAATCTGACAGGCAGCCTGGCATTTTCCTGGAGTTGGTAGTTCTGAAGTGACAATCTTGCTGTAGGCAACAGCGCAGTGGCAAACTCAGCAAGGTGCCAACAGAGGTACTGTGTGTTCTGAGGGTGCCCCTGCTCTGCCTGGGCCCTCACACATCAGGCGGGTCCATTCCTGCCACCCTCCTGGGGCTTGGGGACAGTGGATAGTTCTGTCCAGGTAAGAATGCAAAGACTTGGTGTTACGTTTGGGGCAGGAAGGACAGACCAAGGCGGTTTTACCTTCGTAGAAGTCATAGGTGCACATGGTATGGCCGATGAGTGTGGGAAAATCTGCAATCTCCCTGCTGCAGGCAAGCAGTTCCTCTGCCAGGTCCTTGTCCAGCTCGGTGCTCCGCACCACCACGTCCCCCAGCACCACCTGCTCAAAGCGCGGCTGGAACGAGGAGTCCACGGCCGTGTCCGTGATCACAACGGAGCCGGCCTCGATCCCTGGGCACAGGGAAACTGAGGCTAAGCCAGAGCTCGTTACACCTGTGACCTGCTGCCAAACTCCACCATGACCGGAAAATATCAATACAGCTGCGTGGGACTGTGGGGCTGTTCTTTTTGGTGAGTAAAGCAGATGTCAGAGAATAATTGAAATTCATGCAGTAGCACAGATGTACAAGTAAAATGTACAGAATCAGCACAAGATGAGTGATTACGAGAGTGTGCTGAGGGACAGGGTTTTAACTGCTTCTGGCTTGCAGAGATCATGTCCCTCCACCAGCTTGTGCAGGCGTGAGCTGCAACACTTCTCTGGCCAGAGATCACAGATTTATTTGGGTTAGAAAAGCCATCTAAGATCATGAGGTACAACTGTTCCCCAGCACTGCCAAGGCCACCTCTAACCCATGTTCCCAAGTGCCACATCCACATGGCTTTTAAATCCCTCCAGAGATGGGGACTCCACCACTGCCCTAGGCAGCTGTGCTAGGGCTGGACAGCCCTTTGGAGAATGAAATTTTTCCCTAATATCCAACTTAAACCTCCCTGGCACAAATTGAGGCCACCTCCTTTCGTCCTGTCCCTTGTTCTCTGGGAGCACAGCCTGACCTCCCCCCTGGCTCCACCCTCCTGCCAGGGAGTTGGAGAGAGT